CCTCCAGTTGGAAGAAGAGGCCAGGGATGCCAAGTGGGGTTGGGGCTCTGGGAGGGGGCACAGGCCCACCTCCAGCATCCTTCCCATCTTGGGGAGGTAAGAGAGAAAAGGAAGAGCCCCCCCCCCCCATTTGGGACCCTTCCTGAGCTGGTCGGATTGCCGTGTCTTCCCAGCCATGGTCCACCAGGGCTGAACTCCTGCACTGCCCTCTTGGTGGGGCTGCCCTTAAGGGGGGAAGCCCTTCATTGGCAGCCCCCACTTCTGACAACTTTGGGGCCACAAGATTCACTTTAAAGGAGCATTATTTAGGGGAGGGCTGCAAGCCATTTTTCCTTCTTTCCTTACAAGGACCTGCTGCCCCACTTCTGCCCTTTTCTTACCCCCATCCCCCAGGCAGACACGAGAGCTTTGCTAGTTCTGCCCCTGCTCCCAGGAGGGTCTCCCCAAATCCCTTCCAGGCCCCCCCCAGCCTCTGAGACCCAGAGAGCAGCCAGAGCTCCCCTGGAGGAAGGAGGAAGGAGACCAACCAGGGCGGTGGGAAGCCCAGAAGACTCCTGGCTCAGTCCTTCTGTCAAAGTGGAGGACAGAAAAACCTAAGCAGTGCCCTGCTGGATCGGACCCCTGGCTCCTCTAGTCCAGCAGTCTGTCCCCCCAGTGGCCCACCAGCCGCACCAGGAAGCCCACTGGTCTCCCAGCAGATGGCCTTCAGAGCCAGACCCACTGCCACAATGGCTAAGAGCCATGGATCCCAGGACTTCCATGAATTGGTCCAACCTTCTTTTGGAGCAGCCCAGCTGGTATCCAGCGCCTGTCCTCATGGTAGCGAATGCCAAAACTGAATTATGGGTTGTGTAAAAAAGTTGCCCTCTTCTGAACCTTCTCTAGCTCCCTTGTATTCTTTCTGAGGTGTGGAACCAGAACGGCAGACAATATTCCAGATGTGGTCATGTTCTTGATTTCTATAAGGGCATTATGATATTACCTTCTCTGTTTTCGATGCCTTTTTTATTATCCCTGGCATATTGTTGGTCTTTTTTAGAGTGTATTCCCAGTGTGTCGACACCTTCACTGAGCTGTTTACCATTAGTCCAAGTTCTGTTTCTTCACTTGTCCCAGCTAGCTCTGATCCCGTTAGCTTCTATCAGGAGTTAGAATTTTTGGCCCACCGTATGTCACATGGGCTGACCTCTACCATTTTGATGCCCACTCCCCTAAGGTGCAGAGAAGCTTTGGCTCTTTGTGGTCCCTTAGTGTTTTTACCACTCTGAACCCTTTAGTGCCATCAGCAAATTCCACAAGTCATGCCCTGTTCCAGATCATTTAGAAATATATTAAAAAGAAGCAGTCCTAGGAGAGAACCCTGGGAAATTCACAAGAGGACCTGCCCTTTTATTCCACGGCTGGTAAGCTTACTGAGAAGTCTTTGCTAAGGGACTTTATCAAAGACGTTTTGAAAATTGGAGTAAGTGATGTCTACTGGCTCAGCCTTATCCACATGTTTATTACCCCCCTCAAAAACTCTAGCAGATTAGTTAGACAGGCCCTTCCTTGAGTGGAGCCATGTTGGGTATCCTTGAGCAAGGCCTGGATCTCCAGATGTTTGGTAATTCTATCTTTAATAGCAGTCTCCACTTCCCCAGAACAGATGTTAAGCACACAGGTCTGTAAAGTCCTGGATCTCCCCGTGAGCCCTTCTTAAAAACTAGAGTTACGCTGGCCACCTTCCAGTCCTTGACTCTAGAGGCTGAGCATAGAGAAAGGTTGCCTATTTTAACTCCATAATCGCAGCTCTGAGCTCCTTCCTAACCCCTGGGTGGATCTCATGGGGGCCTGGTGATTTGCTGAGGCTCACTTTGTCCATAAGGCCCAGGGCTGCTTCTCCTGTCACCGCTCTGGGGCTCAGCTCAGCTGGTTCCCCTCCCGAGAACAGGAGCAAAGGCTCAAGGATTCCCCCACTTTGCTTCTGGTGAAGATGGAGGCAAAGAAGACTCAGCCGAGGAGAGATGCAGAGGGTGGAGATCCAGAAATTCAAGGGGGGCCTGCAGTAGAAGCCTGGAAGGAAAAGTAGTGTGAGCCCCCCAGGAGGTTTTGGACCAGTCCCACCTTTTGATCCCAACCTACCTCACAGGGTTGTTGTGGTGGGGAGATGGGAGGAGGGCACGCTGTATGTGGTGCCCTGAGCACCTGAAGGAAGGGCGGCCTTTAAAATAACAGACAGATTCAGAAATAGGATGAGACCTATAGCAATCAAACAAAGAAAGGGAGAGCCTGGCTATAGAAACCTAGAAATAAGGAATAATTCTATAAGAGAGTTATAAGACTATAAAATAGGCAGATATCAAACATTTCAACATAACACCAAAACTTTTATTGATTTAAGAAATTTTCCCCTGCATTGAATGTTTCCATGATTTATGTCTCACGGAGTCTGGGCTCCATCCAGCCATTTTTGGTCTGAAGCTCCTACTGCAGCTGGTCTCCCGGCCAAGGAAGCGGAGTCACTCCAATTGCTCTTTCTTGGAGGATTTGGGGGCAACTATGCAGACATGGAGGACTCCTGAGAGAGCAACAGGGGCCCTTTTCAGGGGGCCAAGCCCTCAGGGGCCCTGAACCCTTTTCCTTCTGAGCCAGGAGGTTCTCCCTTTTGGGGGGCAGTGGGTGGAGGGGCAGAGGCTGGGGAACCCCTTGCCATCCCCCATTCCTTTGGGGAGAAGAAGAACTGGGGAAGGGCCCCTCAGTTGGCTTCTCTCAAGGAAAAGGAGGTTGTGGGAACTGGACTCTCTATACTTTTTGGAGGGGGAACCAGACCCCCCATCACTGTGATGCGTGAATGCAGAAATCTCAATGGGGGTCTGATCATGGGACTCCAAGGCAGATGTGGGGGAGGAGGAGTGGGGCTTTTCCTGAGGAAAAAGCTTATGAGGAGCTTCTCTTGGGGGACTTGACATGAGGGTTGGAGGGCCCCCTGTGCCCCTCGCCCCCCTTCTGGTCATTTATCTCTGCATTTAGCCTCCAGACGGAGGACTTCGGGCTCTGCGGATCCAAGGCCAAGATGGCGCTGCTTGTTCTGCCTTTTACCCAGAAGGAGATCTGGAGGCTGAGTCATGGCAACTGGACTTCTTTCCTTTTGGTTTGATACGTTTCGCGGCTTGTCCAAGCAGCTTCTTCAGCCTAGAAAGTTGGTTAGGTGGGACCCCATATATGTCTTCCTGGGTGGTTGCGTTTCTCACTAACAAGATGGGCTCGTTTTCCTTGGAAACTCATTTGAGGACAATAATGTTCACATTTTGGACAGAGAAGATAGGTGGTTTGAGAGAGGAGTGAAGGAATCCCTTTATGCCAAAGTGGAAAATCCTTCCCTCAATAGCGGTGGAGGCCTCAGACACAACTTGTCTCCCATTTTTCATGCTGCTCTTTCATCAGTCCTCAGGAAGATTAAGACCACTTCACAAGCTCACCAAGGAGGCAGCACTTAACAACCCACTTGGGGATGAGTGAGGCATCCTTACTCCATTAGGAGTAAGATATCCACAGCCCAAAGACTCTACTACTCACTCTCCTATTGTCCCTTCAAGGAGCCCATCATGTTAGTGAGAAACGCAGCCACTCAGGAAGGTCCCCCCTGACCAACTCTGTCTGACCTCCAGACAGTTCCACCTGGATGACTGAGAATCTTCATCAACATATTGCCCAGAAGGAGACTTTGGGGGAGGGAGAAGATGGAGGGAAACATAGGAGGATTTCAAGTGGGGGCAGCTGGGTCTGGAGACCCTCAAGGTCCAATTTGGGGGCAGGATGAGGAGCTTCATGGGGAAAAATGTATTTCTTTCATTTTCCAACCATTATTTATCCCTTTTCTCACTGCCTCTGTCCTGCATCAAAGCCCCTGCAGGGAGGGGGTCTCTGTCTCTCCTGAGGACTCCCCAAACCATCTTCTTGTCCCTCTTTCAGGCCTTCAAACCTGGCAGTGGATAGGTGCCTGTGAGCTCCAGGGAGACGGGAGCAAAGGAGGGTTTTTGCGCTTTGGATATGATGGGAAGGACGTCATCAGTTTCAACAAGGAGACCCTCACCTGGGTGGCTCACAACCCCCAGGCCCAGATTGCCCAGAGGAAATGGGATGCTGATTCAGGACGAAATCAGGGAACGAAGGCCTACCTGGAGGAGGAATGCATTGAGTGGCTGGAGAAGTATCTGTCCTACGGAAAGGAGATGCTGCTGAGGACAGGTGAACATCTAGGCCCAGGCTGGACTTTCCTCCTTC